AACATTGCCTTTCTTGTAATCACTGGCATTTTTTGCCACTTTTTCTATTCCCAGGTAATAAAAGTTTTCTAAATGAAAATGTTTATATTTTAAAATAAGGCACTATAAAAGCACACATTAAACAATTTATGGTAGATAATTTTCTATTAGAGTGTGTGTGTACCACAGACACATTGATTTATTTGTAAATAATAGAAATGATAAAATGACTGGATGCTCATGATTATATTGGTTAGACCAAGTAAACTATCCGTAATTTCATTATAAAACATTAAAGAACAGCACAAGCCCTCATGCCTGGCATTTTCCCTCATTTGTGCTACTGTAGCTCTAGAATAGTGTTAGAAACCAGTGGTGCTTCAGTGGTACTAAAGGAATGATAATCTATTATCCTTGATAAGGGCAGAGACATAGCAGAGTACTTCCTTTGTATTTTACAGAAAAAACTCGTGTTGCACAGTATCTTCTTCAAATATTTGTTCACAGTAGCAAAAATATGAATTCCTTTGCTGAATATAAAGAAATTTTATTCATCCCTGAAATTTTGCAATTTCTTTGTTTTAAATACCTCTAGTGATACAAACCAGTGGAAATACAGTGTTTCTAGCCCTGCATATTAGCGCTGAGACCCTGAGCAGCTGTTGTGTACTGATGACTTCAGATCTTTAATGCTCTGTTACATACTGAGGCAATGTTTCCAGTAGGCATCAACTGATACTATTCTCATGTCAGACTGGAGCAGTTGGAAGTGCATGATGGCCCACCACCTAAACTCACCCCAGATATCAGACATTATTTAAATATGGTTTTACAGTGGATCCTCTGGGTGCGTTCATTCCAATTGGACTCAGTGACTTGAAAAGTCTTTTCCAATCTAAATGATTCTAAAAATGAGCACAAGAACTCTGTGAAGATACCACAGAAATTCAGGGAATGTATGTACCATCCTGCAGCTCTTAGTTTTTGTACTTCCAGCCCCAGTGTTGTTTGTCTTAGAAGTCTCTATACTGGCTTATTCCTTTCCAACTTTAGTGTGCACTTTGAAAGTTTTCGCAAAGCTTTCACTGCTGTTCTTAAGGGGAGGAAGATGGCCTCCATCCACCCTATGCTTTCCAAGGAATGAAGACCACGGACGCTGGCAGTAGGCACAGACCTCTGCTCTCCAGGGAATTAACTGGAGCTGAGGAGTCAAACAGGACAGCCGTCTTTAGGAGGAGGTGCATGGTCAGCACTAGTTCTGTTCCACCAGGATGAGCTGAGGGGGATGAGCTTACGCAGCGCTTATTTTTAACTTTGTATTCTTTGTATCATCTGTCTCTGAACAAGCTGAGCTTCGTTAAAAGTGGTAGTTTCTATACTTGAGGGAGTAGAGCACTTGCCCTGTGAGGGGAGGCCAAGACATCTTTGCCAGTTCACCCTGGAGGGGGGACCTCATGGCAGCCTTCCTGAATCTGTGAGAAAGCAATTGAAAATCATAGAATCATACAGAAGATGGAGGCAGGCTCCTCACAGTGGGGCATGGTGAGAGGGTAAGACATGGTGGGCATAAGATAAAACAAGGGAAGTTCAGAGTGGATATAGGAAAAGTATTTACCTCATGAGAACAGTACAGCAGTGGGACAGGCTGACCAGGGAGGCTGTGCATTTTCCCAGAAGGTTTTCAGGATTTGACTAAGTAAATTCTGAGTAAACTGGTCTAACACTGGCACTGACTGTGCTGTGAGTAGGTTGATCTGAGGTTCTTTTCTCTGATCTTACAGTTTCCTGATACTTAGCACAGGATGAACAAGTACAGAGGTGAAGGACTGGGAATAGCTAGAAAAAAATAAATGCTGGTGGCTCAGAGGGGTGGTAAAAGATTGGAGAGCATCAAGTGAGTTCATGAATATGGATCACTGATCTTTGTTATGCTGGAAATGATTCGGTTCTGGCTTATAGAGCAGTGCATAGTCATCACTTTTATGTTGCAAGGTTTCCTTTAAGGTTCCAATGTCACAGACAAGTCAGTTTTATTTAATGACCTTCTACATTAGCAGTTCTTTCTATTGCTGACTGAAATTAATTCTTCTTGTGATGTAAAGGAGCACAAGCCCAGCCTCTGCATCATTGCTCAACCATGTGCTTTAGCCCTACCAAAGAATAGGAGCACAACAGATCCCTGAGCATCAGAAATACCCCTGTTGAAACTTTTAGGTCCATTATTGATAAAGACTCAGCTGGTTTTTAATTACTGAGATGCATGGTTGGAAGCTGAAGCTTTGTGTTTAAGCCCTGGAAATGCTTGGTCGATATTTTTCTTTTGTGAAGTGACATCATGAAGACCTTTCTTTTTTTTCCTCAAGCATTTCACAACACAGTCTTCCTCTCTGACCAGAGTAATTACAAAAAAATTCATTAGTGGTTTATGTTTATGGTACCATACTGCTTAGATACATATGTCTTATGAAGAAAAAGAGTAAGACAAGGGTGGAGGATAAATATGTCAGGGAAATAAGACTGGAAGGAGCACGAGGTTTCATAAAGACTTCAGGTGGAGAATAAAAGAAGGGATGAATAATATCATGCAGGATGGAGCAACGACAGACAAAGAGGATGAAAGAATGTGAAAGTGAAGAGTCTGACAAAACAAGAAAGGAAATAGAATTGGCAGCTAACATTTCAAGAAAAAATAATGATAAAAAGTGAAGGAAATATTATGCAAATATTGATTTTTAAATTTGTAAATGTTTCATAGTCTAGCAGTGCATGTTTGGTAAATATTCTTTATTCCAAATTTTGGAAGATTAGAGAACTTACTTTAAATTCAAATTGGTGGTTAATAAAAGATGTGATCGCTAAAGTTCAAAAAAACCCATAAGATCATTAAATGAATGCAATTTGAATCAGATTTCCATTATTCTGGCCACACCAGTTTTTGCACCTAATACTTTAGGAACATTCTGGCCTTTGAACAAGTCAGTAAACCGACGACTGGCAACAATGGGTACCTCCTGTGCAAGCAACTGAAGAACTAAAATTGCAGCCTCTGTCTTCCAAAATAAGGCTACACTTAAGGAGGACCTAGAGACTCATCCTTCTGATCCTCTCCAGTGCCTATGTACAGTGCTGGGATCACTGACAAGAGACTATGACTAGAAGGAGAGACAGGAATGTATTTCAGACCATCCAAATACAAAACCAGCTCTTGCTGTTACTAAGTCATATTTCTCTCTATAATATTTAATGGCCAGTCTTTGCGAACAAAGAACCGGGGAAGGTCTTTACACCTTCCAGCCTGCGCATTGGATTTTTTTAGGTGAGACACAGTGTGCGCGGAACTGAGCCCACCCTTTAATCCTGAGGTTCATCTGCCGGGGCCAAGCACGCTTGGACGGTGGCAGCGAGGTCCTGAGGACGTAGATGGATTGCCTTACAGGGCTAACGAGCTCCATCTGCCCGGGGAGTGTCCTAACCGGGAATCGAACCCAGATCTCAGCGTTGACAACACTGTGGTTTAGCCACTGCACCACCAGGGGCACTCTATAATATTAATTACGCATGGAGAAGTACCTGATGTCCTGAAAAATCCTTGGAAGATGTGAATAGCAAAGGCTGAAAGTGTGTTCTGTTGGGTGTTGTTTTGATTGCACTTGGACTACAAAGACATTCATTAAAAAGAAGATGAGGCTCTAGTAGTGTTCCCTTTCTCTGCCTGGAGGTAAGAGTGAACTGCCATGGACTTTCTTTCTTTGTTTGCAGTACAGCCTGGAGCTTTATTAGATCCATCTACATTAGATCCACCTGTTTGGATCTATCTACAGCAGAGGCAGAAATAATGTATAATGTCTTACGAAGGTTGCAGAAAGCTTCTGGTGTTGTTTTGAATCAGAAGCAAGTCTGAACATTTGCCACCTTCTGATCCAAGACAGAAATTTGAACTGAAAGATCTGGAAGGGCTCTAAATGCCTCTCATCAGTAGGACTCCTTGATGTGCTCCTGCCCAGCTGGCATTCTCCTTGCTCAGTGACTGACTTTTGCATATCTCACTGGTTTTGTGTCCTACAATAATAACCTCTTCTAGCTACTTCTCCAAAAATAATGACCTCCCATTTATTACTTTGCCCCACCCTGCAGGGCTTTTTAAATTTCTGTTAATTATGCCTGGAAAAACCTTTCCATCCTGAAGTACAAGCCATATAAAGGCTCTCTTCTTTTGCAGTTTTTAATTTTTCTGTTTTGAGGGGCATGTTGGTGAATGGGACATGTTTTAGTAATGACATTTAATTACTATCACCAGTCAGTTATTATAATAATAATAATAAAAATATATATATTTTTTAAATTCTGTATGTTATTATAATTTCCCATACTCCTGATGTATTAAGATGTATGTTCCTCCAGGAGACATCAAGTTTCAGCCAGAGTTATGTATGCACACAGTGCATCACTGGTGATATTTAACAGTAATATTGACAGCCTAATATAATATTTTGCAGGCTTTGAAACCTAATATCTGAGGAAGGATTCAAATTATGTATATTTCCCTGAGAAAACTTATAGAAATAGGACTTACTTGGAAGGCTGGATTTATGATTGCTTTCATTCCTGGATTGATCTTTATCAAAGAGACTACTTCTGTAGATCCCTGCCAAGAGGGTTATGGAATAGTGTTGGGAAGATGGCAGGGAGTGTTTATTTCCATATTGACAAATAGATGTTTGTCTTGTGTACAAGAAGGAGTAGCAAAAGGGAAAAGTATGGAATGCACTTTTCATCTTAAATTAGTAAATCATGGGAGAATGTCTCAATATGCTTTGGACAGTTCAGTTTCTACAATGTGATGTCAATATACTATGTTTGTATGGAAGCACCTAGGCACAGTGCTTCCCAAATGCTTCATTTTGACCTTGAATGAATAATGAGCAAATCCTTAAATTGTGAAAATCCAGATACTTATCTTATGCTTTTGTCTTTTTTTTCTCTTCCTTTTTTTTTTTTTTTCCCTCCTTCCTCTTGTCCAGGAAAGAATGTATCAGTCACACAGAAGAAGCAGTAGAGCTCTGAAGGACTGATGAAATGTGCTTTGCCCTGGTGGTGCCTGCAGCTGCTACGTTATATGAAAAAAATGAGAAGTTGCCCTGAATTTACCATCTGCGATGTTTTAGCCAGCTCCTGTAGTGGAAGCTGGCCATGTGGGCCAACCCAATGCATGGTTTGAGACTGAGTGTCATTTTGTTTTCTTGGGATCTCAGCATTTGCATTTTAAAGCAATTACCAAGTTAAGCACAATCTCTGTGCTCATGGGTCTGCCTGCATGGGCATGTAATATCTTCAGCTTGGTATGGCTTTGAGCATTCCTGAAAGAGCCTTTGATCTGAGTTGGGATGTTTAGTATTTCTGAGGACGCAATACTTGAGGGTACAAACTGTTTAGCAAATGAGACAGAATGGCATTTTTACAAGGGTAAGTAGGAATTGGGAATGTACTTCATGTGCGCTGAGAAGCACTTGGAACATCAAAGTGCTGTGTTCTAATACTCTGAGTATTTCAACCGCATGAATAGGCCACCCTGAATTTAACTTTCAGAAAAGGCGTTGGCAAGCGTACATGCTTTTCCTGAAATAGGTGGGTTTGGTTTGTGCACACTGGCTGGTAATAGGACACATGATGCAAACACATTTTGCAATCACACTGCAGGTTACACACCCATAACCACTACTATTCACCTCCGAGTACCATTTGTGAAGGCAGGGAGATGTGGATGTAGGCACAAGACTTGTGGTGGATAAGGGGTTGTATGTGCACATCAATCCATTCAGTAACTAAAGGCACACAGCACTAAGTCAGTGGCAATACTCCTGCTGACCTGAACAGCAGCAGCCACGGGTGCTGCTCTCAAACTGCCTCTTACGTTGTGATGCACTTTCAGTTTTGACTACTGTTTTATGACTTGTATTTTCAGTTTTATTTTTTTTTAATGTTGAGCTAACTGCTCGGATGGGCTGTCTTCGCAATACTTAGTTGCCCAACAATTACAGATATCCTTTGAAAGGAAGCAGAAGAATAATAAACCATGGAATCCCAAATCAGATTAATATAATGTGCATTTCTAGATTACGATTAGTAACAAGATAACACGTTGTCATGGTAACGCTTGAAGCTTAAATACAGGTTCCTAAAATAAAGCAATGACATGTGTAGGTTTCCATCCATTTGCATACTATCCACCTGAAAATAATTTCTACAATACTCAGGCAATTAAACCCTACTTTTTCCTTCTGAGTTAAGTGTTGAACTTAAATATCATGCCTCTTTCCTAGTATTTATGCATAATCTCCTACCATAAATTATAAATGTTGATAAAGAAGCTGTCCATTTTGTAACATCTTAGGATTTCTGCCTTTTGGTTTCATTTTAGAAAAATTAGCATAAGTAATGTAGAACACACTTTATTCTTTATGGTTGGTACCACATTGATGGCCTTGAAATTCTACCACCTCCTAATATGAAAAATGTCTCACTGATATTGGAAAAGTCTGTTTATTAATTAAATTGATAGACCAGTGGGTGCATTTCATGTGGCTGAGGATTGGGAATTAAAATCCCAACTTTTCCTCAAATCACTGTAAGAAAGCAGTAAACTTTCAATGTCAAATTGCTAGCTAAGATGGAGAGCCTAGCTATTATTTTCTAGTTGCCTTACAGTGAAAAGTGTTGTCTATTTGTTATAGAGTCTGACTTTCTTTCACTAAGCAGAAGTTTACTTGTTTAATGTGCTGTCTATGGTAAAGGTGCCAGGAGATGCACTACATGTATTGTCATTTTGTGTTGAACTTTCACAGAATGCAAAATTGGGCACATTGCTCTGATTGCTTTATATGCACAATACTGCTTTGACCATATTCTTTAGTCAAAATTAAGATGCTGCAAAGTTCTTTCTAAGTAAATACGATCTTCTTCTGTCACCCTAAATAGACAAAATAGGCAGTGTTACATGGAAAATATGATTTCTTTGGCAGTTCACTTATATATACTGTACTGTAGAGACCACTGGAGGATATTGAAAATATAGCTTACAGGTTGCTCTTTATGCGACCTTTAAATCCCAAATTCTGTTCTTCACACTTCTGTAGATGGCAAATGCTGAAAGTAAAATGATTGCCTCTGGCATGATAATCATGTTACATTCAGAATAATACAGTTGCTGGGATATATTTCATATACACAGCAGAGTTTCTAGGATAAACCTCCTGCTAAGGCATGGCTGATGTTTGTCCTTGTGGCCTTTTGAATAGTGGAAAGTCTGATTTGTGTTTCGTAAATCTGCCTGTATTTCTCACATGCAGATGAAGGTTTTTAGTATTTGAATTTACTGTTGTTGTGGGGTGGAGGGAGGGACATGTGCATGTTGGGGTTTGCCACTAATCCTTTGGAAATCCTTTAGTGCCTTAAGGAGGCAGAGGGGGAACAGACCTTAGGATTACAGAAACTTGTTCAAACCTCTTTCTTGCTTTAGCAGAATTCCTTTAAAATATATTGTGCCTTTGGCTCCAAATATATTTGCATTAGAAATCAGTAGCCATGGGATTACGGACAGGACTTCTTGCCCTTGTACAAATGTTAGGAGAGAGAGCATACTGTTTCTTATATAGGATGTGATTTAAAAATACAGCTTACTTAAATTCTACTGTTGAGATCCATGAATACTAGGAAAGTTGTAAGTTGCAGTTAAAGTCATGGGGAAAAAAAAAAAAAAGAAAAGGAGAAAGTTTAAATATACTAGATGAAATGCTTGTGCCACTGAAGTGACTGGCAAATTTCCACTGGCTTCCCTGGGACCAACCAATATTTCATGCTTGCTTCTACTTGGCTTAAGAAATTCTCACATGTGATAGACACATGGGCATCATGCTGTCTTTAACATAGTTTATGCACATATGGGAGGAAAAGAGAGATTAGTAGTTGTGGAGACCTGCCTTGATTTGGAGTTGTTTGGATCTATGGTATAAATCTCTGTTCACTGTTGTTTCTCTGTGTAACATAGACTCTTGCTATGGGAATATGAATATGCAAATGTAAATTCCAATGCTGTGCAGTGTGCACTAACCAATGCCAAACAACTACATTTCTCTACTCTCTGAACTCTGGTCTTTTTGAAAAAAGAGAAAACGTAGCTAACTGATGAAAACCACTCCTGTGCCAAAAAAGCCTGCGTGAGGCAATTCATGGTCCTAAGCGGCTCTTAGGAGAAATTGAATAAGCTTTTAGCTCATGAGTGAATTTTATCTTCAAGGAATTAAGAGCGATTTGCTAAAAAAAAAAAAAAAAAAAAAAAAAAAAAAAAAAAAAAAAAAAAAAAAAAAAAAAAAAAAAAAAAAAAAAAAAAAAAAAAAAAAAAAAAAAAAAAAAAAAAAAAAAAAAAAAAAAAAGAAGAAAGAAAAAGAGAATGAAAAAAAATGAAGGCCTGAAAATCAGACTGGTGGTGTTCTTCTGTTTTGCTCCCTGGGATGAAAAACAAGTTTTAAAGAATATGTAAATAGTTTAAAGAAAATCATTACATGGCTCGCAGTATGTAAGACAAGGCCCAGCATGGAACAGATTTTTATAGCTTATTTATAAATTACATTTCTGCCTTTTGTTTGGAACTTGGAAAAGGAAACAGTGTAAATCAAATAAGAAGTGAAGACTTACTGCACACATTTGTTGACTGAAACAAAAATATTTCCCCACCTTGTGAGGTATTAAAGAGTAATCTGGGATGAATAATGTATGGAATTCTTGCCTTTTGTGCTCTAGTGCTGTACAACTATTTAACTCTGCAAAGCCACCAGAGGGGTGGTAAACAGAAGTCATGAAGATCAGTTTTTAGGGCCACAAATTCATATTTTAGGGCCAAAAAGAGGTACCAAAGAATGTATAAAAAGGTTAGGGTTTATGGTGTGATACTTATTAAGCAGGTATACCAGCTAGACTGGAGAGGGAGGGGTGTTTGTAAATAAATGCAAAAAAATTTAAACTCAGACCCATGACCACTCTGTAAATGGGTGTCAAATTAATTTCAGCTAAGTGAGAAGCTTCAATAGTATGAGACAGGCCACTCATAGTTTAACTGTTCCATTAAAACCTTCTGGGTAACTTTTCAGCAAAGTTTTCCACTCTAAGACATTTGTCATTAATATCAACTGTACATATGTATTAATTTTCATTGTAAGTAGGGACAACACAGAATTGTAATGAAGTCACAAAGTCTACTTGATGATTATCACAGATTTGTAACTCTCACTTAAATTATGTAAGATATGTTGACATTTTATCTTGTTAACAAGATGTATTTTTCTATGTTAGTCAAATGTACAATTTGTATAATTTTGTATAATAAATGTATGCATATTTTAAATTAAAAACTTCATTATTTTATTATTTTATTATTTTTAAATGGTGACAAGAGCTTCTGAGATACAGCTGTAAATACAACTGTATCCATGGATAGCAACTCAGGAATTCTTAGTTTTGAGAAAGGGGTCAGCTGGTCTTCTAACAGGGTAAGAAAACTGGAACACCTGGGGTCTTTCTCCACTTGGTGGATGAGCTGCCATTCAACTTCAGCTGATTTAATGGAATGAATATGAATTAGCAGAATACTGTTAACTGGACCACTGCTTAGAAAGTCGGTAAGCGTAGCCTGCCCTGGCTTGTAGTGTTTTGTATCCACAGTTCCTACATGCCAGGAGACAGTCCAAATCACCAATCCATGGGACAGGGTTTTGTGGGGGAGGGCGACACAGCTGGCAGAGATATACGAGTCACACAGAGGAGAGAGGGAGACTGACTCAGTGACTTGGTGGCTCAAGTCACTCTTCTGGGAGAACAAGAACTTTGGTCTCTGTCACACTCACTCCCTTTGAACTGTTCATGGCTTTTTGTCTGTTGATTCTGTTGCAAAATGCAGAACAGCAAGAATAGGTGCAAAATGTAAATTGCACATTCCCTGAGTCCCTGCACCAGGCAAGTCCTGTTCTAGCTCGTGATATTCACACTGTTGCAAGAAGAGCTCCAGCTACAACTAAAGCCAAGCCAGTATGTGAGATTTTTTGTTATGTGAAGTAAGCATGTCTCCAGTTTTTTTTTGCTGTCTCTCATCTAGGCTATTTGAAATTAAGGTCCTTTAGGAAGAGGGTGCACTTTCAATCAAGTTCAGTCCTCTTTTCATCAAGCAAAGTCAAGACAGGATGGGATGCGCTGTCTGCAAGAGAATATACCAAAGCAATGTATTCCTCCGAAGCTGCATACTTTTTTTTAGGGAAACTCACAGGGTATCAGGATGTAACTGGGTCTGCTTCCCTAGTACCTGAAACTGCATTTTACTGAACTTAAGGACAGTATGCACCTGGTGTCTTAGAACACTTAGTTTTTAATCAACTAAGGGCTAACAAAAAAAAAAAAAACAACCAACCAACCAACCAAACTAAAAATACGCCAAAAAACAACCAACCAAACAACCATTTAAAAGCAAAGAAAGACTCTGGTATGATTTTATGCTTACTTGTAACTGGAAAGCTTAATGCTGTTTTCTTAAGCATTGATTTGACATGCTCTCTGAGTCTTATGTATCGACAGTAAGATGAATGTCCTAACTTAATACTGCAAAAATAGCATTATTCTTTTTTATTCAGAAAAACTTGAGCAGTTTTAGAAACCTGAACAATGTTATCTAAATAGATCCTCAGTGTAAACAGACTCCATCTTTCTTAGCTTTATGGATGTTAAATAACAGATGCTCTTTATTTAGTAGACACATGTACTATGTGCAACATACAGGACCTACTATGGGATCATGAGAAGTTTTTATTCTGGAAGTTCAAGGAATCTCTTGATTGCAAAGAAATAACTCATACAATAAATAATTTTTCTAATATTTGTGAAGACAGGCAGGTCACACATCACACTCCATGTGCCACTCGCATATCTCACTAACTGTCAGAGTTTGGTGTCCTGTGGAGGAAGAAATTGACTTTCTTTTTTTTCCAAAATGATCAATAAATCTCAACGTTACCATCAGGAACAAAAAAAATCAATATTTGTCCACATACAAGAGAAGATTTGAAGGAAGTAACGATGCAATATCCTACAAGCTATACTTATTTTTTCACATATGGTATCAATGTGTTAATGTGGAAGTATGGTTTATTAAGTGAGCTGTGGAATCTTGGGCAATATATGGTCAGAAATGTCAGTCATGATTAAAATCAGTGTGTTAATAACCAATAATAAATGAAATTTTTACTGATTTCCTAACTCCCCTCATGTGAACAACACCCACAGTGTTGAATGCACGCACAGGGCATTCAAGACAGCATGTACCTTTGCCCTATAACAAATGCAGAAAAGAAAGATGTTTTCCTTTGATGCATTTTTTCAATGCCCGGCTATCTCCCATCACTGCTTTTTCACACGGTCTGGTCCATGGGTACTTGTTAAAGAGAAAGATGGTTATGTGGACTCACTTCTGATGAAATCCCAGGGACCTCTGTCTTTAACCTCCCACTTTTCCTAATTTGTAATTTGCAATTTTTATCGTGCTAGGACCACCAGGTACACAAACAGTGCTGTGTGGCTGGGCTTGTACTCAAACAGCATAAGCATGTTGTACATGAGCAGTAAAAAAGGCCTTGTGATTGATCCACTAAGCTTCAAATTTGCTTAGTCACGTAATTAATTTCAGAATAGTTTCTTCCAATATATTATTTCAGAGCAACAGAAAATGTCCCTTATGTAACTACTGGGGTAGTCTAAGGCTGTGGCAATTGCCTGAGATTGGCTGCATGTGCAGGAGAGGAGTGTCCAAGGACTTGTGATTTCGGTCGATGATCTCTTTGGGCACTGTAAGACAGGCAGGGGTGTAAAGATGGTCTTTCTGAAGTGGGTTGCGCAGAGAGATGGGGGTTACACGCTCTCCACCCCTCCTGCTTTAAAAAAAAAACTCTCCTAGTTTTGGGGAACTTGCATTACTCACAGCGAAACGAAAGTCCTCCCCTGGGCAGCCTCTCTTTGCCGAGGCCAAAGCCAGGCAGGAGCCGGAGAGGGCGGCCGGCCCGAGGAGCCGCCCGGGGTGCTGAAGGGACAGCTCCGGGGGGCGCGCAGCGCTCCCGCCGCGCCGAGGGGGGTTCGCGGAGCCACGGCCGCCTCCCCGCCCTTCGCGGGGCTTGGCGGACACCCTCTGCCCCACAGGACACCCGCTGCCCCTCGGGGCTCGGCGGACACCCCGTGCCCCACAGGACACCCGCTGCCCCTCGGGGCTCGGCGGACACCCCGTGCCCCACAGGACACCCGCTGCCCCTCGGGGCTCGGCGGGGCGGCGCGCCGGCCGCTCTGGGTCCGTGGGCCGCACGCTCAGGCCCGCGGAGCCGCCGCCCCACGGCGGCCCGTGCCCGATGGCGGGGCCGGCAGCTCAGGCAGCGCTCGGCGCGATCACTTCCGTGTCAGGGCCGGCACCCGCCGCCCTGCCCGCTGCCCGCACCCTGCACCCTGCTGCCCGCACCCAGCTGCCCGCACCCAGCTGCCTCCGCCCTGCTGCCCGCTGCCCACGCCGCCGCAGCGGGGGAGCGGCAGCCGGGGCGGAGCGGAGCCGCCACCACCCCTGCGGGCAGCAGCTGCTGCGGCACGGACAGCGTGAGCCCTGCTGCCCGGGGCTGCTGGTGCTTCCACCCCGACCCCGGACACCCCTCTCTCCTCTCCCCGCCGCTCCCCCTTCGGCCGCCGACCGAAGCTGTCCCGCCTCCCGCCCGCATCGGGGGCTGCCGCGGCCGCGCCCCCCCCCCCCTTCCCCCGCCCCGCCCGGGCAGCGCCGCAGCCTTTCCCGCGGAGGGAGGCGGGGGCAATGTCAGTGTGCAAAGTGGGAGAAACTCCCTCCGGCTCTCTCGGGGAGACTGGGGAAGATTTGTAGCTTTTGTAGCTTTTCTCTCTTTTTTTTTCTCCTTTTTTTTTTCTCTCGCCCGAAGCCACGCCATCAGCAGGTGACGGGCGACCGCCCGCCCGCCCGCAGGACGGGACCCCATTGGCACCGGCTGTGTGTGCATGCGGCGGGCTCCCTCCCTGCCTCCTCCCCCTGCCTCCCGCCCCCTAGATCATTCTATACCGGGGGAGCTGTGCACTGCGGTCCCTGCTCGGGGAATCGCTGCTGCTCTTCCCATTCGTCAGGGGCTTTCCAATCACCTGCCTCTGCCACCCTCTCCGCTCCGCTCTTTGTACTTTATTTTCACGTGCTCTTTACTAACACGGCTATTTTTAAATCCCACTCGGATTTATTTCTCT